AAAAAATCTATAAAATCTCCGATTCTCACATGAAAAAATGATCTGCAGTGTTCACATCTTTTTGCAAAGCGCAATAATATTTTCTAGACAAAGAAAAACTATCGAATTTTTACGATTTAAAAATTAAAATCTGGACGAGCGGATCCTTTTAGAATTCTATATTATGAGAAACAATTATTTAATTTTGTATGGCCTAAAGTTCCCAAGCAGGTAATTCATTCAAGATAAGATTATAGCTCAAATTGTTTGGAAAACAAGATAATATATGTATATAACTGTAAAACATCTAAAGTAATACTAAATTTCACTTTGTTTTAGTCGGAAATTCCGATATTTGAAAGCTTTGCTTACCGATATAAACCATAAATTTTATCATAGCAGATAGGATTTAATTTGTACAAATATATTTATATATACCAATAATGAAGTTAATTCGATTCGATTTCACAAAAGATTACTATAGATACAAAAAAAAAACAAATAATTAATGACACAATTTCGTTACCGCAAAATGGTGTAGCAAACAAGAATAAAATCCTTTATTAGACGATATACTTTACCACAAATAAAGATTAGATAAATTGATAGATTTTTGTATCTCTATAGAATTTTAGCATTATAAAGTTCAATAAAGTTCCCAAGCATATAATTAATTCAAGATAAGAGAGTAACTCAATTGTTGGGGACGACCAGACAATATATTTATATAACTGTAAAACGTCTGAAGTAATACTAAATTTCACCTGGTTTTAGTCGCTCCAAATTGTTAGACTAATCGGAAATTCCTATATTTATAGGCTTTGTGCACTGGTATACAATCATCGGTCTTATCGTAGAATTTAATTTATATAAACTAAATACAGTACAATGATAATGAAGGCTAATTCGATTCGAATTCACAGATACAGAAAAAAAAATTGAATTCGAAGGGGGATCTGTAAATTTACTTTTTTGGCCTTTGCTTTAGTCATAATACAGTAATATTTTTAGATCCAGCAATTGATTCGCTATGAGGTACTATTCAAATAATTCTGAAATCACTAAATTAATTTCTGGATTTCGAAACTTATTTATTGAAAGTAAAGCCTCAAAATATAAATTTATAGGATTTTCTTTGAATTGCCCATGTTATTTTTGAGCATTAAGGTCAAAAATTACGTCTTAGATAATCATGTTGCAAATCTACAATTATAAATAACTTTAAATAAAGAAATGAGTTAATGTAAAAAAAATTTTATACAACAAACCGTTTAACAAATCTAATTCAAATTTCAAAATTAAAAACGATTATTGTAAACCAACTCTAATAAATTATTTGCTTGTTATTATAAATTATTAAACTTTGATTATATGGATATGGATAATCGAGTGTTTACAGTTACACTTTTTTGATAAATTCCACGGAAAATGTCTAATGTTTAGAATTCTTATATAATTGAACAATTCTCAACTTTAAAGAAATCTCAAAACTTTCACTTATTAAAGTCATATTAAACTATATATTAAACTATTTAAGTCGCATGAAGATTCTTGCACTCATCTTTGCTTATATGATTTATGTTGCCTCCTGCTTCTCAGAAGTTAAGAGACAGAATGGACCATTATCTCTAGTTTGTTTTTCATCTATTGAGACTAGTATTCTAACAAGTGCAGATATAGAAGTAGGTGTTGGCCAAACTTTATTGGATTTTACTCAATGCATTTTAAACGGCACTATTGGTCAATGTCAGTATCAATGTGTTATTGATTACAGTCAGTTTAATGGCGATGAACTTCAGTTTTTTGAACAACAATTTCAAACATGTTGGAATTTATGTGCAAGTGAGTTAAGCATTACTAACTTCGCTAATCAAGAATGTTATTCAACTGGCATAGATATAATTTCAAATATTCAACCACTTAGCCTGTTCGCGGACATTTACGTCGTTGTGTCGGTATTAATGCAACTGAAAATGCATTTTCCTGGGTTTTCAACATACTTAGTAATGCAACTCAGAATATAGAAAATAATTTCTGTAATGATCTTCTTAATCTGTTAAAAGGTTACGGCTATCCATTTCCAACCATATGTTGAAAGCATCTAAATATAGCTATAATTTATCTAACTAATATAAATATTATTTATGTATATAGCAGAGCAGATAGTTTTAACTTAAAATATAAATAGTTTATATTAACCAGTCAAAATATCCACTGACTTAACACAGTACTATCTTTAAACAATTGGTGCATATTTACTATTTAATCTGCCGCTTTTACGTTCATTTACCTGGTTAAATATTTCTGTAAAATTATTTCACAAGATTATTTATTATTATATCTGTATATTTTAACCACCTTTATCTTTTTTGTCGGCATAACGATAAAGCTATGCAAAATAAATCACATCTGATTGCATTATTTTTGGGATATTTGATAAGTTTTTGATGTCGGCTAACTTATTGATTCCGACTCTGTATCTTATTTCGATCGTCAAAAAATTTTTCAGATGTCCCAAAAATAACGAAACCAGTTTTCGCGTCAAATTTGAAATTTTCAAAAAAAAAAAAAAAATTAAAAGTTTCGTGTTATGAAAACCAAGAAATTATATTTGTTTGGGCCTAACTCTGATCACTTCCGTAATTATTTAGCATATGCCTTCCTTCTTGTTGGTAAATTAAACTTTTGGATGATAAAATATAGAACTTCAGTTAATAACAAATACCTAAAAGGGTAAACTCTTGATGAAAGTCAACAATATAGTACTAAGGTAATATACAAAATTTATTCAGAAAAAACTCTGCCAAAAATTTGTCGATTTACTACCAATTCAGATTTGCCGCGGCAAATTCGATGATACAGTAGATTTTTTTCAGAAATTAATTAGACATACCCTGGAAACAATTCTGGTTACTGGACTGGTCTGTTCCCTTGACCGTTACCTGTTTGGACTATCCAGTCCAGTGGAACTACTGTATATGAACTGTATATGAATTGGAACTGGAGTTTTATCAGCAACTAAGATCTTTTTCAACTCAACAACATCACAGCATGAATCATAAAACAATTTAGTACGTACAAAAATTCAAATTTTAATTAATTAATAGCTTAATTAATAATATTTAATCTTATTAAAAAAAAAAAAAAAATTCTACTTGAACATAATTTTTATATAAAATATTTTTGAAAACTATCATCAAGAGTTTCTGGACCAAGTTTAATATAAGGGACCCACTAATAAAATTGATTAAAATTGATTATTAATCAATTGAATTTAGAGTAGGGTCCCTTATATTAAACTTGATCCGAATTTCTTTATCTTTTTGTTCTAAGTCTTTTAATACCCAGAATCATGTTAATTTATATATTGTACGTCATCAGGTATTTCAATATAATCATGACTTGTTGCCATTACTAAAAACAATATATTATAATACAGTCTAAATCCAATTTGAAAAGATGAATAATATCAGAATATAAAGTTCTTGAATGCGAAGCAGCCAATAAATATAATAATTTTTACAGATTATATATTGATATTCTTTAATGTTATTTTAATGTTAACTGTCAAAAAAGCTTAGATATTTGAAAACTGGAAATTTTCGCCTATACGATTTAAGATCAGGTAACTTATAGAGGATGATGTGACAATAATGACATTACTCCATTTTTAATGAAAAAGAAGAACTCAGCACTCAACATATAAAATCCAATCTATACTGCCATTTTGTTTCAACAGTATAGTGTTTCGATCCTTAATCCGACCATTTGAATTGATCCTTAAATCTAGATAAATTTAAATATCCAGATCAGAGATTTTTATTCGGATTTGTCAAAGAACTTAAATAACGGACATAAGGGTGTTCTCAAAGCTAGCTTTATATCTAATCTGACACGGATTCAATCCGGATTTAATAGAATCCGGATGACCTGTCAAAGATAGGATCGGAACATTACAACAGTATATCTCCCGGCCTCGAACTCGTTCGCTCAGCCTCATTTCAACCTTCAAGCTTGTCAACAATAATAACACGTCATATCACAAAACCATGTGTTTAACAATTAGACCTTTCTACTATGAGGCGGCCAAAGAAATTTTGCATTTAGAGAGGTATTACATTTAGGGAGATAAAAATCTATAAGTGTCATATATGTTGGGGCCAAACATGGCTATGCATTATTTAAGGAGGTCTGACTGTATATTCACAAGGATACGCGTGTTAACTAAATTTAGAAATTCTTGAGATTTTTCATTATGGTCTCTAAAAATTGCACAACTAATAATTGTTTTGAATGTAAAAAGAACCTTTTATTATAGATTATTAGCAATATTTGTAAATTAAAATAGTAAATATTTTCAATAACAAAATTTTTTAAATTCTTTTTTTAAACCTTTATTATTATTTAAAAATTTATTTAAAATTTTAAACTTCATAAAATAGAATTTTTTTGAAAACTTTACACTAAATTTAAAATCGCAAAACTTTTTATTTAAGGCTTATTGCAAAATACAGTATATATATTTAAGTAGCCTACATATAATAAGACTTGTCAAACTGTGTTTTAGCCTTAAACCTTCTTGAATTTTTATTAGAGTAGATCTAATCTTTAAAATTATCAATAATCAATTAAATTTTAAAATTTTTACTATTAAATAAGAATAAAAAGCAAAATTAAATTAGTATAGTTTCGTAAATATAATATACTAATGTATATAAACTAATATATATAAACTAATATATATAAACTAGTATATATAAACTAATATATAAACCAATATATATAAACTAATATATTAAGTTTAACGTTTATATCAGTTATGAAGACATGCCACTTAGAAGCTACTTATGATTAACGTTTACAAAGAATTGTTAAGTGATAAAAATATATGTAAATTTTAAATATTAAGATGTATATTTTAATTAAACCAAGTTAATTGTTTTTTTTAGATATGTCAACCTATTTGACTTATAAATACAGTATTTGGAATCATTGCATGAGGACATGCTCTGTGATTAATATGAAATGCTTAATAGAAGTATTGATCTTAAAGTATATCGGTTAACCCAATACACAAAACCGAATAATACATGATGTTTAATATCTAAAATAAAATTTCAAAATTTTAAGCGCTAACTCTTAATGAAACATCTTATAGGATAAATTTATATAAGAAAAATGAAATCAGATTAAATTTCTAGAAGGAAAGATGAAAGTTCATGTAGTTTTTATATATACCTTATATTATTCCAAAAAAATTCCATGGTCATATTCGGATTAAATTTTATACATAATCATATAGGCTTCATCACGTTCTTTTAATGCAAATGTATTTTTTGGATCAATTTCTAATGCTTTATTTAAATCTGCAAGTGATTCTTCGTATTTATTCATCATGCGATAAATTACTCCACGGTTTCTTAATGCAAATGCACTATTTGGATCGATTTTTAATGATTTATTTAAATCTACCAGTGATTCTTCGTATTTATTCATCATGCGATAAATTGCTCCACGGTTTCTTAATGCAAATGCACTATTTGGATCGATTTTAAATGATTTATTTAAATCTGCAAGTGATTCTTCGTATTTATTCATCAAGCGATAAGTTGCTCCACGATTTTCTAATGCAAAAGCGTTATTAGGATCGATTTCTAATGATTTATTTAAATCTGCAAGTGATTCTTCGTATTTATTCATTATGCGATAAGTTGCTCCACGTTCTGCTAACATAAATGCATTATTTGGATCGATCTCCAATGATTTATTTAAATCTACAAGTGATTCTTCGTATTTATTCATCAAGCGATAAGTTGCTCCACGGTTTCCTAATGCAAATGTATTTTTTGGATCAATTTCTAATGATTTATTTAAATCTGCAAGTGATTCTTTGTATTTATTCAACATGCGATAAGTTACTCCACGGTTTCTTAATGCAAATGCACTATTTGGATCGATTTTTAATGAATTATTTAAATCTGTAAGTGATTCTTCGTATTTATTCATCTTGCGATAAGTTGCTCCACGATTTTCTAATGCAAAAGCATTATTAGGATCGATTTCTAATGATTTATTTAAATCAACAAGTGATTCTTCGTATTTATTCATCATGCGATAAGTTCCTCCACGACTTGCTAATGTGGTTGCATTATTTGGATCAATTTCTAATGATTTATTTAAATCTGCAAGTGATTCTTCGTATTTATTCATCATGCGATAAGTTGCTCCACGATTTCCTAATGCAAAAACATGATTTGGTTCGATCTCTAATGACTTATTTAAATCTGCAAGTGATTCTACAAATTTATTCATCAAGCGATAAACTTCTCCTCGTTTCCTTAATGCAAATGCATTATTTGGTTCGATTTCCAATAATTTATTTAGGTTTAAAAGTTTTTTCTCATGTTCAACCATTTTATCATGGTATAATAGTGATGAAGTGGCATTTTGTTTGAAATCTGAACTAGAAATTACTATATCTTCCCAATTTCGATAATCTTGATCAGTTTGAATTGATTTTTGAGTTATTAAAGTATTAGAATCTTGAACAATTATATTTGTAACTTGTTCATTACTGAAATTTAGATCTTTCAGATTAAAAAAGACATGTTGAATATCTGGGCGGCTTTCAGGGTCATGTTGCCAACAGTCTATTTATTAATTAAAGTTATTCTCGAATTTTAAAGAAATTAAATATATATTATAAAAATTTATTATACCTGTATAAATCTTGACATATGTTGCTGGTGTCCCTTCAATAGGATTTTCTCGAACACCGTTGCTAATGTCTAGCGTTAATGCAAGACGATGCTCAGCATCATCTTTAAAGGGTGGATAACCACTAGATATTTCCCACATAAGGACACCTACGCTATATATGTCTGATTTTTTATTAAATCTAAAAGATCTATTTTTATTTCTTGAACTTACAAAACTTTGTGGATCCATGTATGGAATTACCCCAAAAAAGTTTAGACTTGAATTCGTCACTTCACCCAACCTTTTTGAAAGTCCAAAGTCTGTAAGCTTAATATGCTTTTGATGAACAAGTATATTATTTGAATGCTATTAAAATCATAAATAGTTAAAATTAATAAAAATAATGAAACAATCGGTGTTTACTTAAAAATATATATATATACCAGATCGCGATGAATTATGTCTTCAGCATGCAAGTATTTAATTGCACTAGCAATCTGCAATGCAAAATTGATCTTATCATTCCAAGAAAGTTCTTTAAAATTACTCTGCAGATATAACCTTAAAGTTCCACTGTCTGCATATTCAAGAACAAGGAGCTCGAATCGGTATTATCTATTGCAAATGTAATATCGTATGTTGTAAGTTATTTGAGCGTTGTAGGGTAAACCTAGAAGTGAAAATTTAAGCTTTTAGTGTAAAATCCCGAAAGAATTATAATTTATTATGTGTACGATCAATTTCTGGTCATTTCGATAACATAATTATAATTATAGAAAAGCTAGGTAAAGTAATAAAATGACATGCTATTGAAATGATCAGAGCACCATTTTTACGCACGACAAATTATAACTTTTCTGGTATTAAATTCACTACTGTGAAAATTTAAGTTTTCACTTCCAGATTTTCTCTCTGTAGTGCTCATAATATATTTTAAATCATAATTTCAAATTACATATTTATTTTATCTTTTTATAAAGAAAACCACAAATACCTTCATTTTTAGTAACACCGAGCATACGTATAATATTAGAATGTATATCCACTTTACAATATAATTTAAGCTATATATTTTACAATTAATATTATTATATTATCGTATAGTCATAAATTAATAATTAATTCAGTTACCTCTTTAACAATCTCTTTAATAGACGCATTACTTTTAAATGATTTTATTGCAACGGTAATTTCATTGCTCTTAAAAGTGGCACGGTGTACTTTTCCAAATCCTCCTTCTCCGATCAACTTAAAATCCCCGAAGCAGTAATATTCGTAAAATTTAATACGTTCTTCATTAAGACATTTTTGAATTAAATCTTCTTGGTTCATACTTGAATAAACGTATGTATATATAGAGTTTGGAATCGAATTTATATTTTAAATCGGATTTATTTAGTTAGCGTTAGTAATCTTCAGCTTCGGGACTCGATATCCGGATTTAACCTGCATGCATATCATCAACCAATAAGACTGCGTCTGCAAACTACTAATTGATATGACATTGTACGAATTTTAAAAAAGCACTTCACAACATTAAGTGTCCATTGATCAAAAGAATTAGTATATTTAACAAAGCGGCTAGATTTATTATTAAAACTAGAATTTTAATTAAGGGTTTAGCTTTAATTTACATTTTTCAAATTATTTTTCTTTTATTCTAGTTAAAAGTTAGATTAACCTTATTAAAATTCAAGCAAGAAAAAAATCCATTCATTGGTCTCTAAAGGTGGAAACATAGAAATTAAATAGTATTACGTTTTAAAAATATAATACTATTTACTAAGTTAGGTGCTAATTGCGTTTGTCTTGCTGAAATATGATTTTTAGCATTAGAAAAGAGATATTTACTAGGGATGGAATTAGCAGGTATTGAAAGTTACTTATATACTAACTGTGATACCTAATGTTCTTGTATTAAAGAATTGATATTTCTTGGCTCATTTAGATAGTACAGATAGTAGGTAACTTTATTTTGTACTTGTATTTGATTATTATTTCACATTTTGCAAATATTTTTTTAACAAATATCTTCAATTTCAAATTATTTTATTATTTTGACTAAATGAAAATCTTTTAATATCTTTTAATTTTTTAAAAAACTTTTTGAGATTATACTTTAAACCAAGTTTATTCAATCTCTATTATAGAACACTTTAAAATATACTTAACTAAAATTTTTATAGATTTAACAATATAATTACTAAATATATATATATATATATTTTTAATTCGGCAGTCTTGCCTTAACTGTTTATTAGTACTCTAAGGTATTACAGTTACAAATGTACATATATACATTTACAACTATCTAATTTATTACAGATAAGACTCACCCAGTTACTAACTTAGTACCTATGTGTGACCTGCTATATGGGATTTTAACTCCTTATCAACCGTCCTGCACCAGGCCAGTTTTCAAACTCACTGGATGGTTCCCAAATCTATTTTATCATATATATCCCGTTTATATACTACTGTACAACATCCACCAACTAACTTTCACCCCTTATCACTTATCACATTACTTCTAATTTATTTCTTGTATTATTTCCAAATTGGTGTCTTTCAAGTAAGCGCTCTTTATGCTTCCAGTTTGGTGTCCCTGGGGAGCTACTCTAAGGACCTAATCCATATCTCAAGCCAGGTGCTGCCAGGTCATAAGACTTGTATCTCAAGCCACCTGCCGCCATACTAGGGTGTTATTTCATGTTTATTTAGATATTCGCATTGTACACCACCAAATTAGGCTACTGCTCCTTTTATAGTATTCTTTATCGGTATAGTATTACATAAGTCTAGATCCTTAGGACAGGAGTTAAGTACCTCATTTAATTACTGTTACAAGCCAGTAACCCAGGACCCACGCTTCTGCCATGTTTCATCATACAACTCCCATATAGGTTGTGCGATACATTACTCACTGGCCATCTTTATTTTCATACTACCAGAGCGCTTGCTTCTATGCTTTTTGGGGTTTCTTTTAGCCAGTTTTCCTTGTTTCCTTGTGCCAGAGGTGTTCTGTATTTGGTAAAGCCATTCTCTTATCACAGCCCTTACTATGTTCACCATTTCTCTCACCATTTCTGGATATATTGCATACAGCTTTTCTCCCAATCAAGATCCCAATGCCGCCTTAGAGTTGTTGGTGTTACCTTGCCAATCATGGATTTACATGCACAGCCTTCTGCAGTATTACCTTCCATAACCCATATCACACGCAGTGCCTGATCTTCTCCATGGCTCTGGACTCTTTTCAAGAATTCTTTATCGGCCAAATATATACTTCACATAGTCTTACCACCACAGGGTTCCGCATTCAAAAGCCCCTGAAAGTTACAGAGATAATTAATTAAATTAATTACCACCACTGTAATTGAACCGTCGACCTCGTCTGTGAAGGGTTAGGCACCTATAATTACTAAATATTGCTTTCTAATTTCAACTATGTAGCTATAAAAAATTTTTTAAAATTTTTCAATATATATTTTTATATAAATTCTTCTTAATATTATATAAACAAAACAATAAAGAAGTTATTACCCTCTCCAAGTGGCAGATCTAGAGTTCAAATCTCATAGATGATAATTTTAATAAATAAGCCTGTGATATAGTTAACAGCTATTGATGATTAGTTAAATCTAGAAATTTGTAACCTTGGTAATACAATCTAAAATAAAGCTTTGATACAAAAATAAATTCAAGAGACCAAAATAACTAAAAACTTATCTGAAAAGTTCCGAGTAAAAAGGTAGCAGTGATCTTTAATAGTGTTACAAGAAAGTTAAATTTGAAACTAGAAATCAAAATTAGAAAACCAAACAATTAAATTCTTAAGTGAGAATATACTAGCTTAGCTACCAGGTTAAGACATATTAGAAAAAAAACTATATACTCTAGAAGAGAAAAGAAACCATAAAGTATCTAAAGCCTGGACAGACCAACCCTTCCAGGCTATTAGCTAGAAGTAAAAGAGAACCAATAATAAATTCAAGAAAGAAAAAAGTCTGAATAGTGCTCCTAGATTTGAGTTTGATCAAACTCCAAACTCAAACCAAACTAAACTCTAAAATTTTATTAATTTTGAATTCAAACTAAACTTAAATCTATTTTTTACAAACTCAAACTAAACTAAACCTTATTTATAAATTTGATTTGGGTTTAGTTTGAAGTTTGCAAACTAGTTTGAGTTTGAATAATATAAAATATATTTTTATATTTTATTTATATATAAAGTAAAAT